CATTTGGCTCATGTCATTCAGAAGGAGATCGGCAATTGACTTCGCTCGCTCGGGGACGGCGTCGAAGACGGTAACGAAGCTTTACGTCGTTGGAATGAAGTGGCTCAAGTTCACTGATTTATTTTCCCAGGTTTAAAACACATGTTTTTCAAATCCTAAAAACTCCTAAATAAGAGTTAAAACAATCCCGAATGGCTAAAAGGATTTGTAAGAACTATGGTTTTCTTTTTTGTTGATAAATAAAATTACATTTCAAAAAAAAAGGTAATCTAAAAAACCAATACATCATCCCAAAACTAAATTAATATTTTGTGACAACATCAGTTTTGAATATACGAGTCAAAATCATTTGAAGTTTTAGACGTTACTCATAACTTGTATCCTATGATATCCAGTGGCGGAGCTAAAATTTATGTTTATGAGGGTTTGGTAATACATATATCATGGGGGTCAGTTACACAAGTTTAATACCAAACTACCCAAATGTCACTAACCGAAAGCATGCACAAACAAAATTTTATAAAAGTTATGGGGTCAATTGACCACCCTCCTCGTAAGCTAGCTCCGCCACTGATGATATCCTTTCTAGAGGGAATTACAAAATAGAAAATGACTAATCAAAATTTAAAACCCGTCTTTAAACAGAGTAATAAATTAGGGACAAATTAGCCATAATTTACTCAAACTAAAACACTTTAATTTGTAACAAAAAAAATGGCATATGAGTGTAAAAATCAACAAGTCAAAGGGTAAAGACAAAAACTTTTTAAATTTTAATTTTTTTTTTTACCAAAACAACACAAATCTCTCTCTTCGTTGTCTGGACTGTGTGTGGGTGGCTGACCACGAATGTCCAACTCGATCCACCTCCCTAAACACCGTCCTCGAGTGGACCCCACTTGACCAATCTGAATTCTCAAGCACCCAAAAAAAAAAAAAAGTGCTAGAGAGAGAATGACACAGCTCAAAAGAAGAAAACATTGCTCGAGGAGAGAGAAAAAGCCATAGACGTCTGCAACAACAACAAACGCCAAGTCCAGC